CACTCACTCACTCACACCAAAATCCAAAATAACATCACGTACACAAACCCCAAAGAAACAAACGCTCGTTTCCACAAAGTGCACAACGAAACAAACACGAGACATCTCATCATCTCCTTAACAAGTTGAGAAAACGACGACATTCTTCATATAATGATATCACTACCATCATAGCAGCCTAAAAGTACAACAGAAAGCAAAATAAGGTGCTTGTAGCTTATATGAACCTCGGAAAGGCTCTCGAAGGCGAGGAAAGTTGCTGATCATCCAGACCTGCTCTAAATCTCCTTGTCAAACGCTGGTGTTATTCAGGCGGAGAGATTGTTAGCCAGCTCGATGAGCGCTAGTGCGCCGTGAAGACGCTCGCGCTGCTCCTGGAGACGCCTCCGCGCCATACCGCCGCCGCTCTTCTCTTCGTCCTGCTCCTCTTCTTCACCTTCATCAGACGGCAGGAAGTCCAGAGGGTCCTGCTGCTCCTGGTCCTCTATAGTGGTCTTACTCAGAGTCTTTGCTTTAGTCGGCGCGGGTGTCCGCTGCTCCCTCATCTGCCAGTATCTGACAACACAAACACAAACACAGTCATTCTGACGGACCTTCAGGCTCATTAACACGAAACTAAAACCTTCAAATAATAACAATAAATTAAGCATAAAAAAACTTCCAAGGCAGCAGAACTTGATGTACTAAACTAAAACTGAAAGAAAAATTGTTAAATTTGTTAAACTGTAAAAAATAAAATAAAAACGAATAAAAATGACAAAACACATATAAATACTAAAACTAAACTGAAAATGTAAAATATGAAAATAAATATCATAATAGTACATACATAGTATGTAAAAAATAACATTGGTAATGCACCAATGTTACAAGTTTGTCCAATAACTGATAAATTTCAGAAATTAAAATGCTATAATATTTGATCTAAATAAATTAGTTATAAAACAAACTGGAGTAAAGTTACTTTTTTAAACTTGACAACAATAAAAAAAAATCACAAAATTATTATATAAACTACATAGAAATATAAATAAACAACAACAACAAAATATAAAAAATGACAAACAACAAAATAAAATATAAAAAACTTTAACTTGACTAAAATAACTAAAATAAACAACTGGAGTAAAGTTAATTTTTAAACTTGACAAAAAAACGAAAACATAAATCACAAGATTTTATTATATAAATAACTACATAGAAATATATATATTATATATATAAAAATAAAAAACTAATCACAAAAATGACAAACAACAAAATAAAAAAAAAAAAAAGGACAAAAATAAAACCAAAATATTTGAGCGTTGCAAAAAAAATGTTTTTTTTTTTTATTTAGATTACCTTGAAGCACTAAAATAACTAAAACAAACAAAAAAAAAAGTAGTATTAAAAAGAAAATATTAAAAGATATGAAAAACAACAACAAAATTACTTTAGTACAAAAAAAAAAGTTACTTATTTTAGCTTGTTGCCAAGGCAACAAAGAAAATATTAAAAGATATGAAAAACAACAACAAAATTACTTTAGTACAAAAAAAAAGTTACTTATTTTAGCTTGTTGCCAAGGCAACATGTCTCATTTTCATTTAGTTTAACTTGATGTACTAAAATAACAAACTTAAATAAAATAAAAAAAAAGCTATATAGAAATGAGTTTAACTAAAAAAATAAAAACAAAGTATAAAAGCTAAAACTAATTCAAGTGATCAATAAAAGCTATAACAGTATCTCAATGATTCTAAAGTGTCACTGGGCTCGACGATGTAACAGAGAATAATTTAAATCTCGTTTTGAACTCGAGCGTTTCTGATTTCAGATTCTTTTGATTCAAGTTCCAGAAAAAAAATAAATAAATCAAATGAGATGAAGCACATTTTATTTGTGCTTTTATTATGCTCAAGTATTAAATATAAATCAGATGTCTGATAGCATGGGTATAACTGGTCGACACTGACTATTGGCTGATACACTTTTGTACACGAGTGTGTGTTGATGATTTACTCACTTTGCCAGCCATTCGGCCACAGCCTTGTTGTCGGCCCCCTGTGATGTCCCGGGGCCGCCCGCGGGCTCCTCGCGCTTCAGCCGCGCGTACGGGTGTTTGGGACAGTGGCGGTTAGCGTGAGTGAATCGGCTACCGCAACCTACAACACACAGGGAGAAAAACAAAGCTTTGAAATGACTTTACACATGCTAACAAACCAGTGTCACTGATATACTATAATAGTTTTATTTAAAGGTGCAGTATATAATATTGACAGCTAGTGGTTGAAATGGGTACTGCATCCAAATTCATAATATTGGAGAGAGTTGTTGCGCGTATATGCGCTTTAATTATTTACATGCGTGTAGGTTAAGTGGACATTTGAATGAAATGTTGTTTAGTCAATATTAAACAAGGATTAGATTGCGCTGTAAAGTGTAAAAACAGTCAGGCCGTAGGCGCCTCTGCAGGCATTTGTTATAATGCGTAATTAGCGCTATTGTTTGTTTATAATACATTATGTGTTTTAACAGTTTTGTTCAATAAAACCATATGATTAGTTGCTTTTTATACTTTATTTTAACTAATTGCCTTATTGCTATTATATTTGTGTTTTAAGTAATTTTAAAGGCTATTGTTTGCTTAGGTCTATTTTTATTACCACAAAAAAATTTATTATAATTATCCGATTACTCGATAGATTACTCTGTTACCAAAATAATCATTAGTGACAGCCCTAATGTGAACAGGTGTTTAGCACTAGGGCTGATCGCCTGCTAAATCACTAGAATGAACACTACAGAAACTAGTCCATACTACTTGTGTTTGAGTGAAAGCAGCGAATGCTAACGCTCACCTTTCTCCGAACAGACGAAGGGTTTTTCTCCGGTGTGGAGGCGCTGATGGGTCTTCAGCTGTCCGCTCTGGACGAACGCTTTCCCGCAGTCCGGATAATCACACAGGTACGGTCTTTCACCTGAGACGAGAAGAGGACACTCAATGCTCTCGTTCTGAGATCTGAACACAAAGCTCACTGTGGCGGCGCTGACCCGTGTGCGTGCGTTTGTGCGCCTGTAGCGATTTCTCGCGGGGAAAGACGCGGTTGCAGATGTTGCAGCGGATGCGGCTGGTGGAGTTCTCGCCCTCGTTGATCAGCTCTCGGACGGTTTCTGCACGCGGGCGTCCGCGCCGAATGCCGTCCTGAAATAAGACCGCAGGAAGATGCATGTTAGAGTCATGACAGAATGATCCATATGAACACAGCCACTTTAAAGGGACAGTTCACCCAAAAGTGAAAATGACCCCATGATTTACTCACCCTCAAGCTATCCTAGGTGTACATGACTTTCTTCTATAAGACGAATACAGTCGGAGTTATATTAAATAATGTCCAGGCTCTTCCAAACTTTATAATGGGAGCGAATGGGTGTCGAGATTTTGAAGCCCAAAAAAAGTGCATCCATCCATCATTGAAAGTGCTCCACGCAGTTAATAAAGGCCTCCTGAAGCGATGCGTTTGTGTAATAAACTACACTACACCTACGTCCTACATCATCCGCTGGAATGCCACTTTCTCGTGAACGTGCGTACGACAGCTAGCGGAAGCTAGAGATTAGTTTATAATATTTTAAATATAACATTAAACCTTCAAATGAAATTACTTACAATTCAGATACAGGCTTTCACAAAAACAAAGTCCAAGAAACAGCTAAAAACATCTTTTCCATCTACACTAGATCCTCTAAAGGCCCTGATATACTGTAGGTACTTCAAGCGAAATCAAAGAACGAACTGATGTGACGTCATTTCGAACAAAATCCGGCCAAAACGAAGTTCGTTTTAGGAGTTTGAAACGGCTTGCCAAAGCTAACTTTCCGGAAAAGTTCGTTCCGGCTGCAAAACACCTTCGCACTACCATTGGTCCGTGACGATTGCGTCATAGGTGTGCGCTTAGGCTCCGCCTACCTTCACACAGAACTTTTCTTTTTATCATTTAAAAAAAAAAAAACTACGTTAGACTAACTGAAACATGTCACAGCACTTACATAGCATTACTCTTTTGTTGGTTTTGATTACTTCTATTGTCCTCATTTGTAAGTCGCTCATTTGTGCGTCGAATTATTATATTAATTTAAAACATAAAAATATATATCTTACCGTCTCAATTGTTACGATTTTTAGAAGGCATTTTAGGTTCTTGTCAATCCACTGGTTCACAACTGTGTGTTTGCTGCGTAAAAGCATTGGTCGATTTTGGCATTGGTCTAAACTAGGGATATGCCGCTGCCAAATTTTCATGTTGCGATTAATTGCTAATGCTTTTATCAGGGTATACGGTATTATGACGATATTGAAATTTAGTTTTAAAAAAGTGCTGTCATAATACAGTATAACAGGTTTAATAACTTTTTCTTGTAACAAAAATAACTGAACATTTAAATGCAATAAAGCAATACAGAAAAATGTATAAAGCTAAAAGTTCTACACAGATTAAAGTGCAAAAGAATTATAAAGACCAATAGATATCACTTTACAATAAGACCTCATTAGTTAACCTTAGTTAATGCATTAACATTCACAATGAGCAATAGCTACATTTGCTACAGAAGTTATTAATCTTTGTTTAAAAAAATACAAGTCTTAGTTCATGTTAGCTCATTAAATAACACAGTTGCAACTTTAGATTTTAACAACCTGTTATTAAATATTGGAATACCTAAGATTAATGAATGTTCAGAAGAATTTTTCATTGGCAGTTTATGTTAACTAATGAATTAACTAATGAAGCCCTAATGTAAAATGTGACCGAACAATAAAGAATCAAAACACTTTCAAACAATATCTAGGGCATGTTGTAGTCCAGATTAAAATGTAAAAAAAGTTTGAAAATAAATAGCCTATTAAGTCTAAATATTTAAGTATTTGGCGCTGTGATGAACATCATAGCAAATACACAAATCTGGATGGCTGTTTAAATAATTTAAACACGATTCAGAAACAGAAAGTAGTGCAGCTGCTTTGTTTACAGGGTTTGCGGGGTAAAGGCAGCATTTAAATGAAATTTTATTATTATTATTATAGTTTAGCGCCATCTGCTGTTCATCCAGAGCGTCTCTCACATGTTCCGCCATGTGATTCTCGCCTGCGCTTGTTAGGAAAACACAAGACACAGGAACACAGAACTGACACACGTCTCCTTCACTTGTTCTGCCATGCGCTTCTCATCCGTGTGGGGCTTGTTTACATAAGAGTGCGCATGCATCTTTAACGCAGCATACAGAGGTGTTATGCATTGTAACCAGCTGGTGGGAAAAGTATTCTTAAAATGCATTCAAAATTCTGAATAACTTGTAATATATAATTATTCACGGTATTTAGAAGTGCCCACGATAACAATATCGTGCATATTCATTACCGTGATATATCGCATTACCGAATACCGGCACAAGTCTAGTCTGAACAGAAACAGCAGAAGGCTGATTGAAAATGCTAATTGATTCTCTGCCACTAGTTGGGACTTTTGAACCGGCAGAAATACAGTGTTTTCCCCGGTAACAGCAGGATTTAAAGCAGCGCTGTGCTCATAAACGCTACTTTATCAGGCATTACAAGCAGGATGAAATGAGAATACCATCAAAACTTTTCTGAAGGCAGCGCGTTCCCTTCAGAGATTCACTGATATAACAACACCCTCGCCGCATTTTGACTTTGAAACGTGCAGCGCTCGCTCATATTTGTTAAAAGAAGTTTAACTGTTTTGAAGTTTAATCGTCACATTAGTTCATTCTGCGATCCTCGTCTGTCCATCCCCAAATTTAAGACTTCTTGAAATTATAATTAAGACTTTTCTCATACCATTTAAGGCATTTAAGACGTTAATGGCCTTATATTCAATGCAACTAAATTTAAGACTTTTTAAGACCCTGTATTTAAGATAACCCGTGGGGCAGGGCAATGAAACATTTTGTTAGTCCCGGGACATCAGGCTAGCGATTTTGCGAGCCCTGCGGAGCACTTTTTATGATGGATGGTAGGGGTGTGCGATATATATCGTCTGCGATAATATCGTAAGTGTCGTTTCAACAATGTGCGATTTGACATTATCGATATTTACTTAAAAATTAATGCCACCATGTTTTGTACATTCCACTTGCACCTGTGTCTTTTGCAGCTTCTCGTACTTAACGTGGTGTAGTCATGAGCTGCTAGTTCAAATTTAAAAATTGCTTCTACAAAAAAACGTTTCATCTGCAGATATGGTCTTGTTTAGGAATCTGCGCCTTTGTGCATGCGGACATCTGACTGCTAAGTAGGGATTGTGTTTCTCAGTTAATTTCCATGATCTAAATATTCTTATAAATGAAAAGTTTGTTGTCATTTGGAAGTGTGTAGGCTTTCTTGCATTATTATGCTGTTACATTATGATTATATATTCAGTGGCATGAAATGGTCTTTAAAATGACAATAATATCGCTTATCGCAATTATTTCTGGGGCAATATAACGCACAACAAAAAGCTGTTATCGTGACAGGCCTAATTTACGTAATTATGACATGTCACTATCCATATAGCATAGGATTATATACATTTAATTAAGTTAATCAAAGTTGAACTAAGACAAGAACGGGTTTTGGTTTTAGGACAACTTTGATGAAAGGTTTTGGTCCACTTCAAATGTTGACTACTGTATGTTATTGCATTAAAATGTTAATTATAACGTGTGGTGTTATGTTAATATGCTATTATTAAGTAATTACATTGTTATTATAGTTGTTACATATGGCACTTTAAAGCATTACATTGTTGGATCATTAGTTATGTTTAATATGTGGCACTTTATTTGTGTTAATATTAACTTTTTTGGTCAAAGTACATATGAACTTCTTTTTATTTCAATGTATCCTTATTTTTTTGTAAAGCACTTTACAAAAAGTTTTAATGGTGCTATAAAAAGAAAGTTTATTGTTCTCTTGCAATTATTTAAGTCAAGACAAATGTTTCTATAGCACTTTATACAACACAGATTGTGTCACAGTATCAAACAGGAAAATAACTTAATGTTGTAAAATGCATAGGTTATGTATATAAATTGAATTTCAGCTGGAAAGCAGCTCTAAAAAAGACAATAGTCTCATTATTCAGATTAATTTAGTCCAGTGTTAAAGGGGTAGTTCACCCATAAAATTTGTTAATTTTTTGGGTGAACTACCCCTTTAACACTGGACTAAATTAATCTGAATAATGAGACTATTGTCTTTTTTAGAGCTGCTTTCCAGCTGAAATTCAATTTATATACATAACCTATGCATTTTACAACATTAAGTTATTTTCCTGTTTGATACTGTGACACAATCTGTGTTGTATAAAGTGCTATAGAAACATTTGTCTTGACTTAAATAATTGCAAGAGAACAATAAACTTTCTTTTTATAGCACCATTAAAACTTTTTGTAAAGTGCTTTACAAAAAAATAAGGATACATTGAAATAAAAAGAAGTTCATATGTACTTTGACCAAAAAAGTTAATATTAACACAAATAAAGTGCCACATATTAAACATAACTAATGATCCAACAATGTAATGCTTTAAAGTGCCATATGTAACAACTATAATAACAATGTAATTACTTAATAATAGCATATTAACATAACACCACACGTTATAATTAACATTTTAATGCAATAACATACAGTAGTCAACATTTGAAGTGGACCAAAACCTTTCATCAAAGTTGTCCTAAAACCAAAACCCGTTCTTGTCTTAGTTCAACTTTGATTAACTTAATTAAATGTATATAATCCTATGCTATATGGATAGTGACATGTCATAATTACGTAAATATTATATATAACTTTACACCATATTAACAAATAAAAGCTATATTTACAACAAACTCGAGAGTACTAGTTTTTAAAAATAGTAGTAATATCAATACATCAATGAATAGTTGAACAAAAATAAATATATGCAATCTTTCAAACTGATACTTGATAAAACATTTAACATTTTCCCGCGAGATTTAAAAAAAAACGTACGTTCGGAGTAAAAAAAACCAAAAACGTTTCGCAGTATAATTTAAAGCAAGACACTAAGAAAATACATGTTTCACAGTCAAGAAATCGTGTAAATATTATATAAACAGTCATTTCGAGGTAACGTAAGTGTTGTTTCTAGAAGCCAACATTTTGGCGCGCACGTCTGACGTCACGTTCAATGGAGGAGAATTTAAAATCCCGTTCTGAGCGCGCGCTGCACGCGTTAAAAACACCTCACGTAGCGATAATATGCGCTAATACAAATATAACAGTGTACTTGTGTTATATAATACAGCACTAGTGCAGTATAGCGATTTAACGTTAGTTTGGATCGCACCTTGAGGTGTTCCGGGCAGGAGTTGACATCTGATTCGGCGGGAGAGCCGCTGTTTCGGGTCGGCGAGGCGGTTCCGCTGCCAGATCCGGGGCTCAGAGTCACATTGTGCGCGTTTTCACCCCAGCGCCACGGATACACCATGAAGTCGCTGAATCCGGGGCTGGTGGGCATCAGAGAGTCCGCCGCTTTCGGTTTGATGGGAGTCGTCTTGATCACGGACACCAGGACTCTTTTCGGCGAGTCGTTACGAAATATCACTTGATGCTTGCTGTCAGCCATCGCAAATAACGTTCAGTTAAAATGGAGCGTAAAACCGTTAAGTTAAAAACAAACAAATCTAAGTGCAGTTAGAGGAATAACGTGCCGCCGCTGGTCGCTGTGTTATAGAGTCTGTCATTCCCAATGTTATCTTTGATTCCGTTGTTATCCAGCGATCTCTCTGCCAGGAGCTGCAACAGTGAGCCGAACTCACTCGGTAGTTTCCCGCGTTGGAAATCGCGCCCGAGCGCGGCGCCCAGCCAATCAGCGAAGAGGGCGTTACGGCGCCCGACAGCGAGCCAATGGCAGACGCCGTGGCATTCTCGCAGCCATCGCCTTGCCTTGACCTCGCGACACGTTTAAAATATGGCAGAGCGCGCGCGCTCTTTCTTGACAGACGCGACGGTTGTCCAATCACGTGACTCGTTTAACGTCTCCCGCGCATAATGTTTACATCGATTTAAAGGGAAAGTTACGCAATCAAACCGCCTTTTGTTTCATTGTGTTCCAGCAGCTGTCTCCACACAGCAAACATTTGATTCTAAGATAAAAGCCTCCCGCGTAAAAGTAACATCTGCTGTATTTCTTTCAGCGCCTCGACTAAAAAAATAAAAAATAATAAAAAAAAATTTTTTGAAATTGTTCGCAAGACTTTAGAATCATTTCCATGATTGAGGAATGTCTATTTAAAAGAATATAATTTTATTTAATTTTTAATGAGGTTGATTATTTATTCAGGAAACGAAGGATGAGCGAGTCGAACAATAAACCTGTTTTTGGTGTGATATTATAGAATTGCAATTCTTTTTGGGAGTCATGCATGCTTAAAATTAATTGCTATAAGAGCTGCAAACACCACAGACAGTCCCACCCAATATTCATAATGCAGTTCAACTTAAATCACAAGTTATACAGTTTTAGATTATTTTTAAACTATAAACAAGTGTATAACCAACTCTAAAGTGCCTAAAATCTAAAGTCATAAAGCTATTTCTAGTCAAATAAGTTTATTAGATCCGAGCTTAACCTGAACAATTATATTCACCAGTTTTATTCGAGTAAAATTAATTTTATTTTTAAATACTAGTTTTATTAATATTTTGAATCAGTTTATTTTATTTTTTAAATGTCTATATTGTTTGTATTTCAGTTTTATTTTAATTTAGTATAATATAAATATAACACTATTTTAGTAAAAAAAAAAATGAAAAAGATGTGTTGCCTCGGCAACTAGTTTTGATATTTTATTGCAGTCAACATTTATTTTAAGTAACAATTAAAGTTAACTTTAATAACCCTCATATTTATATAGAAATTACTAGTGGGTCCAAAAGCAAGTGCTGTTAAGAGAA